CAGGGCGGGCGCCCAAGCGAGCCGGGGGGCGCGGGCGAAGGGCTCTGTCTGCCCAGCTGTGAGCTCTACCCAGCCCAGCGCCAGGCCTGCACCTCCCTGGGGCCCAGCGTGCAGAGGCACCTTCCCCAGCCTTGTGTTCTCAGCACCTGCCCATCTCCCGGGGGGGTCCCGTCTGTGCACGTCCTCAGGCCGGGGAACCCGCCATCCAGGGGTGACGGGGCAGGACGCTGCTGGGGGGAGCCCGAGTCCCACCAGAGGCGACGGGCTGCTTGCGTGCCGGTCGTGGTTAATAAGAACGGCCAGACTGGGTCAGACCAAAGATCCATCCAGACCAGTACCCTGTCTGCTGACTGGCCAGTGACAGGTGCCCCAGAGGGAGGGAACCCAACAGGGAATGATCAAGCGATCTCTCTCCTGCCATCCATCTCCACCCTCTGACAAACAGAGGCCGGGGGCACCCCTCCTTACCCATCCTGGCTAGCAGCCAGGGCTCGACAAACTATAGAATCTACTCGCCTGTGGCAAGTGGATTTCAGCCGTGTGCCCCATTTACTGGCAGCGCGCGCATGCACAGTGTGACTCTTGCACATGCGCAGTGTGGGGCTAGCGAGCGGCTTTCGCTGCCATTTGTCAAACCCTGATGATTAATAATAGCTTACATGAAACATTGTACTCAAGGACTTTATTTAATGAGACTTCTGGTGCTGCATCTTTTCACACATTTCTTTAAAGAAGAACTTCCTTTTTTTGTTTGTTTTAAACCGCCCATTAATTTCATTTTGTGGCCCCTAGTTCTTATATTAAGGGAACAAGTAAATAACTTTTTCTTACTCACTTTCTCCAGACCTGTCATGATTTTATAGACCTATATCCTCTTTTCTAAAATGAAAAATCCAAGTCTCTAATCTCTTTTCATACAGGACTCTCTTAAACCTTCGCCCTTCATTTCCACTCTGAGTCTGCCTAGTTCGGACTCCCAGCCACGGGCTCGTGTTAGACCAGGGCTGGGGAACCGAGGGCTGGATGTGACCCCCCAGGCTGCCTGGATCCGGCCCCCGAGGCTCAGGGCTTCCCCCCAGCATTGGGGAGCCAGTGCTGGCACTTCCAGCCCTCTGCCACCCTACCATGAGGCCAGAGCGCACACAATCTGCTAGCCTGGCCCCCCCAGGCTGTGGTGTGCGGGGAGCGTCTCCCTGCTTCTCTACGTCCGTGAGAGGGGAGTGGATTTGATTTTGTTGCTTCCTGCTCGTGTGCAGCCCTGACTGATTTTTCTGTGGGTCAGTGGCTCCCGACCCACTTTGTCTGCCGGACCGAAGAGCCCACAATCAAATCTCTTGTTTCCCAGAAGGCACTTCCAGGCTGGGATCCCATCCCCCCATAACCTCTCCCCACAGGCCTAGCGCAACGTTTCCTGGGGCTTGAGCAAAGCCGTTAACTGGCTGTCCCATTACAAAGCCCCCTCCGCCGTGCACGGCTCGTTAGGACATCGAGCGCTCAGGATGACACACGTCCAGCCCTCTTAATTAGCCTCGTCACCCCAGCCTTACCGCTCACAGGGATCCCCCCTCCTTTCCCTGTTAAACGTCTGGGTTTCTGTGGTTCCTCCAGCTCCCGAGGACGTGGGCTGTACCCCTCGTGGCACCTCTCTGAGCCCGGCTCCGGCAGCTCCAGGTTCTCACGTGGCTGCAGCGGCTGGCG